TTCCCTGCACTTTCGTGCTCTTAACAAGAGAGCAGAGCACAGTCAAGACCTCTCTATTTGTTAAGTATGTACCAACACTCCCACTGATGGATCAAAATGAAATCGCAAGGGCTGTTGATAGCTATCCCCTCACTCCCTCAACCTCCTCACCCCCCTCCTAATCCCCCCTCCCAAACTACGATCAACGTGTTAAATATTATTCTTTAGTATCCCGTGGTTAAACTTGCCCTCACGAAATGGACAAGTCCTTGCAGTCAAAGATGATTGACATACGGATCTTTATGAGAGTATATACTTTCCAGCGGGAAATACGCTTCTCTTTCTGAGCAAGACGCCGTGGGAGAACCAAACTTCAGTTGGCTTGCACTTTGCTTTCTTCGTTCATATCTTAGTTGCTACAGCAAATAAAGGTATGTTGATATGTTTTTCCTTTATAAAGCCACAGTATAGCTAAAATTGAATTACAGACGTTAGATTACTCGTTTATGGTAATAAAAACGTGGGTTAAATGGAAAACAAAGAGAAAGAAAAATGAGGGAGGGGCGCTAGGATAAGTAATGGAACATTTTGATGCAGTAGAACATTTAACCGGATCGCAAAATAGGGTGTACATCATAATTCTCGTATAGCCGCAACGAGCAAGATCTATAATGTACAAACTTTTCATTTTGATTGATTTCGAAACAGCTCTCGGTTTCAAGGCCGGTAAGGAGAATATCACCACTGCCATACCAGGTCTGTTTGCTTGCAAGAAGATCTCCTTTCAGTATCCTTTCTCTGGCGGACAGCTGGTAAAGGTCTTTGCCTCCGTTGGACACACAGAGAAGAGCCAAAATCTTAGAAATGGAGCTGCAGTCTGGGTTGAAGATGTTACGAAAAGTCGATTCACAGCCTGTGTGGTGGAGTTTGGAGACAGCTCGAACAGTACTAAGGAAGCGGACTGGATTTCTGTTCAGACCACACCTTTCGGATCCCAAATAGGCACCAAATCCCTGAGCTCTTGGACAACTGGTACAAAATGTGAGAGGATCGATTTCAAACATGTTAGATGTGTGCTAATTAGCGACTCATAAGCGCTAAAGGATTAACAGGGTATATGGTGAAATAATGAACATTGAGGGCAAAGGTCTGTGTAAGGAAAACGGCTCCAACCTTGCCGACACATGCTTTCGAAAACAAAGACAATTAACCTTTCGTTAAACTCGCATCATAACACGTTTGATAATCTTTTTAAACACGCTAAAGTTGCATCGAGTCCCTCGATATTTGTTATCAACGATATGAGCTTTTCTTTTTGATCTCCAATATCTTGCCGTTTTTTTTTTTATTCCATAGTCTCACAGTACCCTCTTCAGTTCATAATTCATAGTTCATAATTTGTTACCATTATTAATAGTATCATTGATAGAGTTGTTTCCAATGAAGGTTTAAATGTGGTTCATTGTATTTCCCTCACTCCTTAGTTAGGGGTATCGGCAACGCCTTCAATTGGGTAAAACATTTTCCACTTATGTTTCAGCGTTTCCCTTCTCCTCGTACTATTTTCGTGACTGCCACTCACGGTGTTCTCAACAGAACTCAGGATGCCATGGCCTTATGGGTCGAGGACTTGAAAGTAAACAGCTTTAAGATTTGCTTGAGGGAAGCCAAGATTTTCGATGCTACACATAAGAACCTAAAAATGGTAAATGACCGCTATTTTTAAGGTGCTGTCCATGGAAAATTTATTGACTAAAAAATATGCAACCTTTCTTGGAGAAGAGAAGTCCTACTTCTCCTTTTAGTTTTTTTTATTTAT